CAAAGTTCATCTGCTCCAGATGTTCCACTAGCTTTTTCCACACAATCTTTTCCATCATCCAGCATGGAATGCAAGTTTGGGACACTGGCCTGTAGTTCAGTGCCACCTGCCTATCACCCTTCTTGTATATTGGGACTACATAGGCCGTCTTCCAAATTTTTGGCAATTCACCTGTTACCAGTGACTTGTTATACACCATGGAGAGTGGCAGGCACAGAGCTTCTGCTCCTTCCTTTAGTATCCATGGTGAGATTCCATCCGGGCCTATAGCCTTTGTCACTTCCAAATCTAGCAGATGCTTCCTCACCTCCCCACTGGTAATCACAAACTCCTCTAGTGGTGTCTGGTTTGATGTTCCCTCCCTTATCTCTGGGACTTCTACTTGCTCTGAGGTGAAGACTTCCTGGAATTTCTTATTGAGTTCCTCGCACACTTCCTTGTCGTTTGAGTGAATCTTTCTGCCCCTATCCTCAGTTTCATTACCTGTTCCTTCACTGTTGTTTTCTTCCTGATGTGGCTATGCAGCAGTTTGGGTTGAGTCTTTGCCTTGCTCACTATGTCATTTTCGTATTGCCTCTCTACCTCTCTTCTCATCCTGACGTATTTCTTCTTGGCACTCTGGTATCTTTCTCTGCTCTCTAGTGTTCTGTTGTTTCTATAGTTTCTCCACGCCCTTTTACTTTGTTGCTTTGCTAGCTTGCAACTCTAAACCATGGGTTTCTCATCTCCATTTCATTTTTTTTCATTTTGGACTGGGACGAACTTGTCTGCTGCCTCCTTACACTTCTGCATGATGTAGTCCATCATGTCTTGAACCGTCTTTCCTCTGAGCTCTTTTTCCCAAGCTATTTCAGTTAGGAATTTTCTCATCTCATAGTTTCCCTTCCGGAATGCCAGCCTCTTGCTTTCTGGTCCCTTCCTTGAGTACATTAACCCTTCTTCGACCGCGTGCGTGCGTGCGTGCGTGTGTGTGTGTGTGTGTGTGTGTGTGTGTGTGTGTGTGTGTGTGTGTGTGTGTGTGTGTGTGTGTGTATTCACCTAGTTGTATTCACCTAGTTGTGTTTGTGGGGGTTGAGCTTTGCTCTTTCGGCCCGCCTCTCACCTATCAATCAACTGTTTACTAACTACTTTTCTTTTCTCCACACCACACACACACACATCTGTGTATGTGCGTATGTGTGTGTGTGTGTACTCACCTACTTTTGCTTGTGGGGGGGGGTTGAGCTTCGGCTCTTTGGTCCCGCCTCTCAACTGTCAATCAACTGGTGTACAAATTCCTGAGCCTTCCTGGGCTCTATCATATCTACACTTGAAACTGTGTATGGAGTCAGCCTCCACCACATCACTGCCTAGTGCATTCTATTTGCTAACTACTATGACACTGAAAACAAAATTTTTAATATCTCTGTGGCTCATTTGGGTACTAAGTTTCCAATTGGACTGGACGGTCTCGCTTCATGCAGGTTGGCGTTCATTCCCCGACCGTCCAAGTGGTTGGGCACCATTCCTCTCCCCCCCGTACCATCCCTAACCCTTATCCTGACCCCTTCCCAGTGCTATATAGTCGTAATGGCTTGGCGTTTTCCTCTGATAATTCCATTTCCATCCTCTTGTTCGTGTTCTATCCATGCTTTGTCCGCCTTGTCAATTCTGTCAATTCCTCTGAGAATTTTGTAGTTGGGTGATCTTGTCTCCCCTTACTCTTGTGTCTTGCAGGGACGTGAGGTTTAGCACCCGTAGCATTTCCTCGTAGCTCATACCTCTCAGTTCCGAGACTAGTTTGGTGGCATACTCTTACTGGTATGGCATACTGAACTCTTTAATTTTGTCTTATGTTTAACTAGGTATGGACTCCAGGCTGGAGCTGCATTCTCCAGGATTGACCTGACATAAGTGGGATACAAGGTTTTGAACGATTCCTTACACAAGTTTCCAAAAGCAGTTCTTGTGTTGGCCAGTCTAGCATATGCCGCTGATGATATACCTTTGATGTGGGCCTCTGGAGACAGGTTCGGTGTGATATCAACCCCAGATCTTTCTCTCTATTTGGCTACTGCAGGATTTCACCTCCCAGATGGTACCTTGTGTTCAGCATCCTGCTCTCTTCGTCTATTCGTTCATTACTTTACACTTACCTGAGTTAAACTTTAGTAGTCATTTTCTAGACCATTCCTCCAGTTTGTCCAGGTCGTCCTGTAGTCTCTGTCTATCTTTATCTGTCTTGATTCTTCTCATAATTTTTGCATCATCAGCAAACATTGAGAGGAAGGAGTCTATACCCTCTGGAAGATCGTTTACATATTAGAAACAGGATGGGTTCAAGTACAGAGCCCTGTGGGACTACACTGATGACATGTCGCTACTCTGATGTTTCCCTTCTCACAGTTACTCAGGGAATTGATAGTGTTATGACCTCAGGTAGCCTGGTGAAGTGAGCCTACCAGGTGAGAGTTATTCTGCACACCTGACCAGAGATTAATATGTCAGAGGAAAGAAATATATTAAGTAAACGTCAGTGAGTGGCTTAAAAGAATACAAGCAGAGGACGAGCATCTTATAAAAGTTAGAAGGAATAAGATGTCGACATTTGTTGACGTGGGGACGCTGGCGGACATCGTAGCGTGTCACTTGAGTTGCCACAGTCATCAGGAATGGACGTGCGTCACTGTCTCCTGGGAAGATCGAAGAATTCGGTTCTAGATAAAGTGTTTAAGTGAAGGCTACAGTGTACAGCTGATGAGGAAGCTGCTGATGACTTGACGTACGTCATTTCTCAGTGATTATGAAGATATTAGAGAACCTGAAACCTAGTGGGTGGTCGTGCTTGTGTGGACTCTAATGTGTTATATCCTCTAGTGGAGGAAAGTAAGTAGGCATTTCTGTGTGGAGCCTGCCAGACGACTTCGTGTGCTCAAGACAGGACTGGAAGAAGCTTTAAAAGGCAGTTCTAAAGTGATTTTGTTGGGCGACCGAGAGTAACGCCATCTTGGAGCGCCAGAGTGAGTGCCCTCACATTTTAAATTATGCAGAAAGCTCATTTATTAGTTGATAGAGTGATTAGAGCTTGATCATGTGTCCAGCAATCATAAAAAACATTTATGCATATTAGAAATTTTATTAAGACAGTGAGCAGAGATAAGGAGTTAGAGATGAGTGGACAGGCTGGAGGCAGGAGCGGCAAATGCTTGCTCGCCTGTGGTCATTGAGCAACTGAGGAGGCAGAGCCCCGAGCGGCCATCGCAGCTTGATTTCGGTGTGGACTCGTCCGAAAAGGGGGGAGGGTCCACCGCGGCAGAGCCGGAGTGTTGAAAGAAATATCGGAAGGAGGAGTTTATTTATTGTAAATACATTTATTTATATTTTATTTGGGAACATGTTATTATGGATTGGTAATGGAATTACAGGTTTGTATTGGAGAAGTTAGCGAAGGAGCTTCGGTCTGAAGAGGATTAAATGGTGAACTCCAAGTGGGAGCTGAACTGCAAGTGTGGAGCAGAACTTCAAATGAAGAGTAGAACCCCATTGATATAGTGGAACTTCGACTGTATGGGAGCTACACATTTCTTTTGTGCAGCCGTTTGGAGGAGCTTCACTGACATTTGAGTGGGACTTCATGTGCAGCAGATATTGAGAGAACTGCAGGAGTATCTACGTGATTTTGAGGACCCAGACAGATGTTCTTGGTGGTGGGCCTCAGGAAGTAGAACAGAGAATCATATGGACACAATGAGTATGAGGGAGTGTTTGATTGCATATTGGCATGAAAGACGCAGTGTAAGGTGAGAGATTGATTGCTTTTTTATTGGAGATATTTTTTGTGCCAGGTATTAAACCCCAAGCAGTGAGGAGGCAGTAGGTTGTGTGCCGAGAATTGAGCAGCAGCCTAATACAGCTATTAGATGAAGTCAGGATATGTTATTGGAATGTTACTGGTTTGTATCAGCCTAGAGTGTTGTACTGTAATATTATATATCTTTTGTTGTGTGTGTGTTTTGTGTAATAAATGTTTGTTGACAGCTGGTTTTTGCTCTTTTCCTGATGAGGCTTCCTGGATAGTGAGAGGGAGAGAGAGAGAGAGAGGGTTGCAAATTGGTGGACAGAGGTCAGCAACATCACAAAGGGGATTTAGGAGATCATCCCATAATAAAAAGTGTGGGGGAGTCACGGTGGCTCGAATGGGTGTGTGTACTCATGACAATAGGCCAGCTTGTATTCGGAGAACAAGGCGATTACCACGTGATCTCCCAACCTATTATAAGCACTCCAGTGTTCATTGCTAATCGACTGACGGCAGCAGAAGTGTGGTTGCCGTGGTCGGTCATATTTTTATCAGGGAGTGCTTAGGGTCTCTGTCCGTCAGTAAGACAGTATCAGTTTGGTTCAAATAACCAATTTATAAAATCCCAACCCCTGATAATAGATTAATTGATTGATAAAGATTAGGCCACCATAAAGGTGGCATGGGCATGAATAGCCCATAAGTAGAGGCTCTTTCAAGCCGTTAGTAATACCAATAACTGATGGAAGATATGGTGGATGAGGGTCTTCATGGTGGAATTGAGCCTCAGAGGGCTGGCTGTACCAGTTATGGAGGTGGTGGTTAGGGTAGACCTCAGGCCCTTCTGTTTTTTCTTTGGCTGAGACTTGCTGCGAGTTGATATGGCCGAGCTGTTGTCATATTTGTGGTGCGGCGGTGGAGCTCCTACTAAGATTTCCTCGTCTGAGGAGTCCGTAACATCCGCAGTTGTTGTTTTTGTCTTTCGTGTCTAACCTGTGGGAGGCTCAGGTGTCGTGGATTGGTGGTAGAAGCTATCTCAGGAGCGTTGGTGGTGCTGTTAGTATTTGTAGACGGCACGTCTGTTAGTGCGGCTGCTGAGATGGTGATGGTAGGAGTGTTGGGAGCTGGAGAGGAGTGGAAGGTGCTCCTGTTTCTGCAGCCTGAGTCTTTGGTGGAGCTGCAACCTGAGTACAGATCAACGGTGTGGAGGTCCCCTGTGTAGTAAAGGAAGTAGTGAGACTTGTGCCAGGGGCTATGATGGGGCCGGCAGCAGTAGTCTGGTGGTCGGCAGCAGTAGTCTGGTGACCAGCAGCAGTAGTCTGGTGACCAGCAGCAGTAGTCTGGTGACCAGCAGCAGTAGTCTGGTGACCAGCAGCAGTAGTCTGGTGACCAGCAGCAGTAGTCTGGTGACCAGCAGCAGTAGTCTGGTGGCCAGCAGCAGTAGTCTGGTGGTCAGCAGCAGTAGTCTGGTGGTCAGCAGCAGTAGTCTGGTGGTCGGCAGCAGTAGTCTGGTGGTCGGCAGCAGTAGTCTGGTGGCCAGCAGCAGTAGTCTGGTGGCCAGCAGCAGTAGTCTGGTGGTCGGCAGCAGTAGTCTGGTGGCCAGCAGCAGTAGTCTGGTGGCCAGCAGCAGTAGTCTGGTGACCAGCAGCAGTAGTCTGGTGACCAGCAGCAGTAGTCTGGTGACCAGCAGCAGTAGTCTGGTGGTCGGCAGCAGTAGTCTGGTGACCAGCAGCAGTAGTCTGGTGGCCAGCAGCAGTAGTCTGGTGACCAGCAGCAGTAGTCTGGTGGTCGGCAGCAGTAGTCTGGTGGCCAGCAGCAGTAGTCTGGTGACCAGCAGCAGTAGTCTGGTGACCAGCAGCAGTAGTCTGGTGGTCGGCAGCAGTAGTCTGGTGACCAGCAGCAGTAGTCTGGTGACCAGCAGCAGTAGTCTGGTGACCAGCAGCAGTAGTCTGGTGACCAGCAGCAGTAGTCTGGTGGCCAGCAGCAGTAGTCTGGTGACCAGCAGCAGTAGTCTGGTGACCAGCAGCAGTAGTCTGGTGACCAGCAGCAGTAGTCTGGTGACCAGCAGCAGTAGTCTGGTGACCAGCAGCAGTAGTCTGGTGACCAGCAGCAGTAGTCTGGTGGCCAGCAGCAGTAGTCTGGTGACCAGCAGCAGTAGTCTGGTGGTCGGCAGCAGTAGTCTGGTGGTCAGCAGCAGTAGTCTGGTGGTCGGCAGCAGTAGTCTGGTGGTCAGCAGCAGTAGTCTGGTGGTCGGCAGCAGTAGTCTGGTGGCCAGCAGCAGTAGTCTGGTGGTCGGCAGCAGTAGTCTGGTGACCAGCAGCAGTAGTCTGGTGGTCGGCAGCAGTAGTCTGGTGGCCAGCAGCAGTAGTCTGGTGGTCGGCAGCAGTAGTCTGGTGACCAGCAGCAGTAGTCTGGTGGCCGGCAGCAGTAGTCTGGTGGCCGGCAGCAGTAGTCTGGTGGCCAGCAGCAGTAGTCTGGTGACCAGCAGCAGTAGTCTGGTGACCAGCAGCAGTAGTCTGGTGGCCAGCAGCAGTAGTCTGGTGACCAGCAGCAGTAGTCTGGTGACCAGCAGCAGTAGTCTGGTGACCAGCAGCAGTAGTCTGGTGACCAGCAGCAGTAGTCTGGTGACCAGCAGCAGTAGTCTGGTGACCAGCAGCAGTAGTCTGGTGACCAGCAGCAGTAGTCTGGTGACCAGCAGCAGTAGTCTGGTGACCAGCAGCAGTAGTCTGGTGGTCGGCAGCAGTAGTCTGGTGACCAGCAGCAGTAGTCTGGTGACCAGCAGCAGTAGTCTGGTGGTCGGCAGCAGTAGTCTGGTGACCAGCCGCAGTAGTCTGGTGGCCAGCCGCAGTAGTCTGGTGGCCAGCAGCAGTAGTCTGGTGACCAGCAGCAGTAGTCTGGTGGCCAGCAGCAGTAGTCTGGTGACCAGCAGCAGTAGTCTGGTGACCAGCAGCAGTAGTCTGGTGACCAGCAGCAGTAGTCTGGTGACCAGCAGCAGTAGTCTGGTGGTCGGCAGCAGTAGTCTGGTGGCCAGCAGCAGTAGTCTGGTGACCAGCAGCAATAGTCTGGTGGCCAGCAGCAGTAGTCTGGTGACCAGCAGCAGTAGTCTGGTGGCCAGCAGCAGTAGTCTGGTGGTCAGCAGCAGTAGTCTGGTGACCAGCAGCAGTAGTCTGGTGGTCAGCAGCAGTAGTCTGGTGGTCGGCAGCAGTAGTCTGGTGGCCAGCAGCAGTAGTCTGGTGACCAGCAGCAGTAGTCTGGTGACCAGCAGCAGTAGTCTGGTGACCAGCAGCAGTAGTCTGGTGGTCAGCAGCAGTAGTCTGGTGGTCAGCAGCAGTAGTCTGGTGGCCAGCAGCAGTAGTCTGGTGACCAGCAGCAGTAGTCTGGTGACCAGCAGCAGTAGTCTGGTGACCAGCAGCAGTAGTCTGGTGACCAGCAGCAGTAGTCTGGTGACCAGCAGCAGTAGTCTGGTGACCAGCAGCAGTAGTCTGGTGGCCAGCAGCAGTAGTCTGGTGACCAGCAGCAGTAGTCTGGTGACCAGCAGCAGTAGTCTGGTGACCAGCAGCAGTAGTCTGGTGACCAGCAGCAGTAGTCTGGTGGCCAGCAGCAGTAGTCTGGTGGTCAGCAGCAGTAGTCTGGTGACCAGCAGCAGTAGTCTGGTGACCAGCAGCAGTAGTCTGGTGACCAGCAGCAGTAGTCTGGTGGTCGGCAGCAGTAGTCTGGTGGCCGGTAGCAGGGGGGGGGGGTGGGGGTGGCCAATAAGAGCATGGTCATGGCCGGATAACGTCAACAAGAGAGTGGTAAAAGTCGGGGCCGGCATGCAATTTGCACTGATTAAATATAGTTACCAATATTGCACCAGTATTGCGAGGAAGACATTCATGCAACAATCATAGCAAATTATGGAATACTTTTATCTTCTTGGCAATTATAAATTAATACATATTTTTGAGTAATTACGCTATATGTGCTGAGAGATTCTTACCACAACCCGCCCACACACCTGCAGGCTCACCCACCTTCCCCCACACACCTGCAGGTTCACCCACCTTCCCTCACACACCTGCAGGCTCTCCCACGTCCCCCACACACCTGCAGGTTCGCCCACCTTCCCCCACACACCTGCAGGTTCACCCACCTTCCCTCACACACCTGCAGGCTCTCCCACGTCCCCCACACACCTGCAGGTTCGCCCACCTTCCCCCACACACCTGCAGGCTCTCCCGCGTCCCCCACACACCTGCAGGTTCACCCACCTTCCACCACACACCTGCAGGCTCTCCCACGTCCCCCACACACCTGCAGGTTCACCCACCTCCCCCACACACCTGCAGGTTCACCCACTTCCCCCACACACCTGCAGGTTCACAAGAGATGAGGTCAAGAGACACCTGCTCGATCTTGACGTGAGAAAGGCTGTTGGTCCAGACGGAATCTCACCATGGGTATTGAAAGACTGTGCAGGAGCACTTTGCTTGCCACTCTCCATAGTGTATAGTAGGTCACTGGAGACGGGAGACCTACCAGAAATATGGAAGACTGCTAATGTAGTACCAATATACAAAAAGGGTGACAGACAAGAGGCACTGAACTACAAGCCAGTGTCCTTAACTTGTATACCATGCAAGGTGATGGAGAAGATTGTGAGTGAGAAAAACCTAGTAACACATCTGGAGAGAAGAGACTTCGTGACAACCCATCAACATGGGTTCAGGGAGAGTAAATCTTGCCTTACAGGCTTCATAGAATTCTATGATCAGGTGACAAAGATTAAGCAAGAAAGAGAAGGCTGGGCGGACTGCTTTTTTTTTGGACTGTCGGAAAACCTTTGACACAATACCTCTTAAGAGGATGGTGCATAAGCTGGAAAAATATGCAGGAATAACTGGTAGGGTGTTCCAGTGGTTAAGGGAGTACCTAAGCAAAAGGAAGCAGAAAATTACAGTGAGGGGTGAGACCTCAGATTGGCGTGAAGTCACTAGTGGAGTCCCACAAGGCTCTGTACTCGGACCTATCTTGTTTCTGATATACGTAAATGATCTTCCAAAAGGAAGACTCATTCCTTTCAATGTTTGCTGACGACGCCAAAATTACGAGAAGGATTAAGACAGAGGAGGACAGCTTGAGGCTTCAAGAAGACCTGGACAAACTGAAGGAATGGTTCAATAAATGGTGATTTTAACCCAAGCAAATGTAATGTAATGAAGATAGGGGTAAGGAGCAGGAGGCCAGATACACGGTATCATCTAGGAGATGAAATACAACAAAGAGTTGATTACACCTTCCCCCACACACCTGCAAGCTCACCCACCTCCCCCACACACCTGCAGACTCCCCCACGTCCCCCACACACCTGCAGGTTCACCCACGTCCCCCACACACCTGCAGGCTCATCCACCTTCCCCCTCACACCTGCAGGCTCACCCACCTTTTCCCACACACCTGCAGGCTCACCCATCTCCGCCACACACCTGCAGGTTCACACACCAATACGGCAGAAAGAAAATATTTGTGTCGAGGTCGTGAAATATCTATTTATCTAAGATATTTTTAAGAGTGAGATGAGAGTGATATCTGTGGCATGGGAGAGTTATGAGAGCTTTGTGGGGGAGTTATGAGAACTTTGTGGGAGAGTTATGAGAGCTTTGAGGGAGAGTTATGAAGGCTTTGTGAGAGAGTTATGAGGGCTTTGTGAGAGAGTTATGAGAGCTTTGTGGGAGAGTTATGAGAGCTTTGTGAGAGAGTTATGAGAGCTTTGTGGGAGAGTTATGAGAACTTTGTGGGAGAGTTATGAGAGCTTTGTGGGAGAGTTACGAGGGCTTTGTGAGAGAGTTATGAGAGCTTTGTGGGAGAGTTATGAGAGCTTTGTGGGAGAGTTATGAGAGCTTTGTGGGAGAGTTATGAGAGCTTTGTGGGAGAGTTATGAGAGCTTTGTGGGAGAGTTATGAGAGCTTTGTGGGAGAGTTATGAGAGCTTTGTGGGGGAGTTATGAGAGCTTTGTGGGGGAGTTATGAGAGCTTTGTGGGAGAGTTATGAGAGCTTTGTGGGAGAGTTATGAGAGCTTTGTGGGAGAGTTATGAGAGCTTTGTGGGAGAGTTATGAGAGCTTTGTGGGAGAGTTATGAGGGCTTTGTGAGAGAGTTATGAGAGCTTTGTGGGAGAGTTATGAGAGCTTTGTGGGAGAGTTATGAGAGCTTTGTGGGAGAGTTATGAGAGCTTTGTGGGGGAGTTATGAGAGCTTTGTATGGGAGTTATGAGAGCTTTGTGGGGGAGTTATGAGAGCTTTGTGGGGGAGTTATGAGAGCTTTGTGAGAGAGTTATGAGAGCTTTGTGGGAGAGTTATGAGAGCTTTGTGGAAGAGTTATGAGAGCTTTGTGAGAGAGTTATGAGAGCTTTGTGGGGGAGTTATGAGAGCTTTGTGAGAGAGTTATGAGAGCTTTGTGGGAGAGTTACGAGAGCTTTGTGGGAGAGTTATGAGAGCTTTGTGGGAGAGTTATGAGAGCTTTGTGGGAGAGTTATGAGAGCTTTGTGGGAGAGATATGAGAGCTTTGTGAGAGAGTTATGAGAGCTTTGTGAGAGAGTTATGAGAGCTTTGTGAGAGTTATGAGAGCTTTGTGAGAGTTATGAGAGCATGGTGAGAGAGTTATGAGAGCATGGTGGGAGAGTTATGAGAGCATGGTGAGAGAGTTATGAGAGCATGGTGAGAGAGTTATGAGGGCATGGTGAGAGAGTTATGAGGGCATGGTGAGAGAGTTATGAGGGCATGGTGAGAGAGTTATGAGGGCATGGTGAGAGAGTTATGAGGGCATGGTGAGAGAGTTATGAGGGCATGGTGAGAGAGTTATGAGGGCATGGTAGGAGAGTTATGAGGGCATGGTGGGAGAGTTATGAGGGCATGGTGAGAGTTATGAGGGCATGGTGGGAGAGTTATGAGGGCATGGTGAGAGAGTTATGAGAACATGGTGAGAGAATTAAGAGGGCATGGTGGGAGAGTTATGAGGGCATGGTGAGAGAGTTATGAGAGCATAGTGAGAGAGTTATGAGAGCATGGTGAGAGAGTTATGAGAGCATGGTGAGAGAGTTATGAGAGCATAGTGAGAGAGTTATGAGACCATGGTGAGAGAGTTATGAGAGCATGGTGAGAGAGTTATGAGGGCATGGTGAGAGAGTTATGAGGGCATGGTGAGAGAGTTATGAGGGCATGGTGAGAGAGTTATGAGGGCATGGTGAGTTATGAGGGCATGATGAGAGAGTTATGAGGGCATAGTGAGAGAGTTATGAGAGCATAGTGAGAGAGTTATGAGACCATGGTGAGAGAGTTATGAGAGCATAGTGAGAGAGTTATGAGAGCATAGTGAGAGAGTTATGAGAGCATAGTGAGAGAGTTATGAGAGCATAGTGAGAGAGTTATGAGAGCATGGTGAGAGTTATGAGGGCATGGTGAGAGTTATGAGAGCATGGTGAGAGTTATGAGGGCATGGTGAGAGAGTTATGAGGGCATGGTGAGAGAGTTATGAGGGCATGGTGAGAGAGTTATGAGGGCATGGTGAGAGAGTTATGAGGGCATGGTGGGAGAGTTATGAGGACATGGTGGGAGAGTTATGAGGGCATGGTGAGAGAGTTATGAGGGCATGGTGGGAGAGTTATGAGGGCATGGTGGGAGAGTTATGAGGGCATGGTGAGAGAGTTATGAGAGCATGGTGAGAGAGTTATGAGGGCATGGTGAGAGAGTTATGAGAGCATAGTGAGAGAGTTATGAGAGCATGGTGAGAGAGTTATGAGACCATGGTGAGAGAGTTATGAGAGCATAGTGAGAGAGTTATGAGAGCATAGTGAGAGTTATGAGAGCATGGTGAGTTATGAGGGCATGGTGAGAGTTATGAGACCATGGTGAGAGAGTTATGAGACCATGGTGAGAGAGTTATGAGACCATGGTGAGAGAGTTATGAGACCATGGTGAGAGAGTTATGAGAGCATAGTGAGAGAGTTATGAGACCATGGTGAGAGAGTTATGAGACCATGGTGAGAGAGTTATGAGACCATGGTGAGAGAGTTATGAGACCATGGTGAGAGAGTTATGAGAGCATAGTGAGAGAGTTATGAGACCATGGTGAGAGAGTTATGAGAGCATAGTGAGAGAGTTATGAGAGCATAGTGAGAGAGTTATGAGAGCATAGTGAGAGAGTTATGAGACCATGGTGAGAGAGTTATGAGAGCATGGTGAGAGAGTTATGAGAGCATAGTGAGAGAGTTATGAGAGCATAGTGAGAGAGTTATGAGAGCATAGTGAGAGTTATGAGAGCATGGTGAGTTATGAGGGCATGGTGAGAGTTATGAGAGCATGGTGAGAGTTATGAGGGCATGGTGAGAGAGTTATGAGAGCATGGTGAGAGTTATGAGGGCATGGTGAGTTATGATTGCATGATGAGAGAGTTATGAGGGCATGGTGAGAGAGTTATGAGAGCATAGTGAGAGAGTTATGAGAGCATGGTGAGAGAGTTATGAGAGCATGGTGAGAGTTATGAGGGCATGGTGAGAGAGTTATGAGGGCATGGTGAGAGTTATGAGGGCATGGTGAGTTATGATTGCATGATGAGAGAGTTATGAGGGCATGGTGAGAGAGTTATGAGAGCATAGTGAGAGAGTTATGAGAGCATGGTGAGAGAGTTATGAGAGCATGGTGAGAGAGTTATGAGAGCATAGTGAGAGAGTTATGAGAGCATAGTGAGAGTTATGAGAGCATGGTGAGTTATGAGGGCATGGTGAGAGTTATGAGAGCATGGTGAGAGTTATGAGGGCATGGTGAGAGAGTTATGAGAGCATAGTGAGAGAGTTATGAGAGCATAGGGAGAGAGTTATGAGAGCATAGGGAGAGAGTTATAAGAACATGGTGAGAGTTATGAGGGCATGGTGAGAGTTATGAGAGCATGGTGAGAATTATGAGGGCATGGTGAGAGAGTTATGAGAGCATAGTGAGAGAGTTATGAGAGCATAGTGAGAGAGTTATGAGAGCATAGTGAGAGAGTTATGAGAGCATAGTGAGAGAGTTATGAGAGCATAGTGAGAGAGTTATGAGAGCATAGTGAGAGAGTTATGAGAGCATAGTGAGAGAGTTATGAGACCATGGTGAGAGAGTTATGAGAGCATGGTGAGAGAGTTATGAGGGCATGGTGAGAGTTATGAGGGCATGGTGAGTTATGATTGCATGATGAGAGAGTTATGAGGGCATGGTGAGAGAGTTATGAGAGCATAGTGAGAGAGTTATGAGAGCATGGTGAGAGAGTTATGAGAGCATGGTGAGAGAGTTATGAGAGCATAGTGAGAGAGTTATGAGAGCATAGTGAGAGTTATGAGAGCATGGTGAGTTATGAGGGCATGGTGAGAGTTATGAGAGCATGGTGAGAGTTATGAGGGCATGGTGAGAGAGTTATGAGAGCATAGAGAGAGAGTTATGAGAGCATAGGGAGAGAGTTATGAGAGCATAGGGAGAGAGTTATGAGAGCATGGTGAGAGTTATGAGGGCATGGTGAGAGAGTTATGAGAGCATGGTGAGAGAGTTATGAGAGCATAGTGAGAGAGTTATGAGAGCATAGTGAGAGAGTTATGAGACCAGTGTGAGAGAGTTATGAGAGCATGGTGAGAGAGTTATGAGACCATGGTGAGAGAGTTATGAGACCATGGTGAGAGAGTTATGAGGGCATGGTGAGAGAGTTATGAGAGCATAGTGAGAGAGTTATGAGAGCATGGTGAGAGTTATGAGAGCATGGTGAGAGAGTTATGAGAGCATGGTGAGAGAGTTATGAGAGCATAGTGAGAGTTATGAGAGCATGGTGAGAGAGTTATGAGGGCATAACTCACTGTTCCATGGGCACCATCGAGGAGAGAGTGTTCAGAAGCAGACACAAACCATGTGTATACTGTCGTAGTGTAGACGACATATTTGTGAGCGTACAACACCCGGAAGAACTCCAAGATTCAAAAAAGACATGTAGAGTGTGAGTCAGGACTCTGATTCACCCTAAAGAATTGTAACAGTAACAGTCAACCTTTTCCTTTACATGTGTTGGCTGACCACGACCCGAACAGGCGTCAGGATTTAATGAAATGTTGTGCCCATATCGCACCTCGAGCGTTGCAGGGGGATTCGTTGACCAACCACTCCTTATAAGCAATCGCTTGTGAAGAGGTATTAGTACTGTGCATGTCAGTGGGATGAGCGGTGGTGATGCAGTGTCGAATCCTGGTTGGATCGTATAATACTTAATGAGTATAATACATATATATATATATATATATATATATATATATATATATATATATATATATATATATATATATATATATATATAAAGTTGTAACTCTAAATGACCCGACCAGAATTTGAATTCATGCCGCTCTTGATAACCCCTAAACGTACACACTATTCTCGGGTACTCACTACTGCTTGGGCTTCAGCCACATAATTGGCATTCCTGTCACTCTGTCACTCCCGACCATAGCCTCGGTTTCATCTCTCAAGTTTTCCATAGTGAATTCACCCCTGGGGATGTACATTCCCGCATACTCACGGGCAATTCTGGTATGTGTCTCTTTACAGATACAAGACTTCCTTCACTAAGGGACTCAGCTTGAATCCTGGACTGAGGTCGCGTCTCCTCATCCAGACCCCGAGGGTGTACTACTCACTACACCCCCTGACACCCTGACACCCTGATAACTGTGTTGTATTATGACCCCGGGTAGCCTGAAAAACGAGTCTATCCCTATGAGAGTTAGTCGACAAACTAGGCCCAATTGGGAGGTCAAAGGAAATATCGATATGTGAATATGTATTAAATACACGACAAGTGTTAATGAGTAGTTCAAAAGCATAGGCAGAGGATGGATATGTTAAGACATGACATGTGATGTCGATATTTTGGCTGACAAGGTATGAGGCTCACTGTGGATGTCTTGACCTCACTGGAGCAGCAGAGGTCGAGAGAAGAGGTCGTACTGTGTTTGTGCTCCCGGCAGTAAAGAAGGAACTCCTCGTGTGCCCCTTCAAGAGGAGAGAACCAGTCAGGCGTCTATGTATGAAGCCTAAGGACGACTTAGTGCTCGAGTCAGGACTAGAAGAAGCCTGGTGAGGCAATTCTATAGCGATTTTTATGGGCAACCGGTGAGCATCAATGTCGAAGACCGGGACCTGAATGACCCACATCAGATAAATTCTGTGGTAAACCTATTTAACCAGTTGTTAGTGATTGCCTGTGATTGATCATGTGCCCAGCGATCTTGACAAGTGTTCATAAATATAGTGTATGTGTTGTATTAAGGCAGTAAGCTTAAATAAGAGAGTAAAGATAAGGGAACCAGCTGGAGAAAGCAGCGGCGCATCAGCCCTCGCCGAGTGTCAGTGGGTGACTGAGGGTGGCAGCTATGGTTCCCAGGGAGGTGGAGCATGGACTGGTCCAGACGGGGAAGTACCCTCGCGACGTGAGAGTTTAAAGAGATGTCAAATGGAAGATATTTATGCTCTGTAGATACATTTAATTATGTTTTAGCAGGGAAATACTTTTATTGGCATGACAACGGAAATTGCAGGTTTGTTTGGAGGAGGAGTTGATTCAAGAACTTCCAGCGCCATGGAAGAAGTTAATGGAGGAAACTTCGAGGCTGGAGAGGTGAAGGCTGAGCTCTGTGGAAGAGCAGAACCCCCAGAGTGAGGAGTGAACCTCAAGCTGTGTGAAGGAGCAGTGAAGAGGAGTTTCACATGTCTGTGGGATCAGTGGTGAAGCATCACTGATGTTTAATGAGAACTTTCATTGTGTAGCAGTTTAGGAGGCCTACAGAAGAGCCTTGTTGACTACTTCGGAGAACCTAAAGTCATACATGGTAGTGAGCCTCTAGGAGCAGAGGTTCATGGTGATCACACATGATGTATAAGGGGGAGTACTTGAATGATTATTGGCGTGTAAGATGCAGTGGAAGGTGAGAGACTGATTTCTTTTGTGTTGGGGAATATTTATGTAGATGTTTCTAGTATTTCAGCCATAGGTTGAGTTTTGTATATCTTAGGGCTGATTGTACAATATTATTACGACGAGATTTAACCCCCACTTGGTGAGGGAGTAGTAAGTGGCAAGCCAAGAATTGAGCAGCCACTTGATATGGACAGTTAGTGAAGCCAGGATAGGATATTGGATTGCTACCGGGTTGTAGTAGCTTAGAGTGTTGTATGCTAATGTTTTATTGTTCTTATTTCATGTACTGTATATGTTCTTTTGTCTGTTAAATGTGCATCGTTATCTGGCTTTTGTACTTGTCCTGGTGTGGCTTCCCAGAAAAAAGGAGAGAGAGAGAATCACACTGGCCGACAAGGTGACAGAAAATACTAATTCACAAAAAGGGGGGATTGAGGAGATCATTCCAAATAAGGAGAGAGTGGGGAGTCACAGCGACTCACGTAGGGTGTGTGTACAGAACAATGAGGCCAGTGTTGGAGCCAGACCCCTAGATATGTGATCCTAAACCCCTCTCCAAGACCAACAGGCATACAGGGTGATCTCCTGAGAAAATTTCAAGCACTCCAGAGTTCATTGTTGGTCAACCGACGGTAGCGGGAGTGTGGCTGCCGATGTTGGTCGTCTGTTCCGGCAGAGAGTGGTTGGGGACGTCGTCCACCTGTACGCAAGTAAGTCTGGTGCAGCAACCAGAGCTCTTTTTGGAGGTCTAAGTTCCATAAGCCCCAACCCTCTCAGGTCAGGACAGTTGTCATCCACTGGGAAATCCTCATCCGCGTGCTCACTTCCACCGACTTCGTCCACAGTGAAAAAAACTGTCGTCGTGCACTTCAGTAGCTCCTGAGTGCTCTCTTGCAACATACGTAGCACTGTAGCTTGGTGTCTACACACCTGCACTTGACACTCCTCCTTAGTGAGGCTGTCATAGTCCACTGGCATGCAACCTTGGAAGGTTATCTTCTTGAGGTTATCTTGAGATGATTTCGGGGCTTAGCGCCCCCACGGCCCGGTCCTCAACCAGGCCTCCTTTTTTGTTACACACCCCCAGGAAGTAGCCCGTAACTCAGTCAGAAAGAACTGCACAGAGCCGACACGTTAAGTGCCAGATGTGAGATTATACTTTAAAACTGAAATAAAAGGTGAGAGCTGCCGTCGGAGTTCAATTTCTTGGTATCTCCTATCCACTAGGTCGTTTAGCTCCTTAATTGTCTGTGGCAATCTTAAGGGTAACTGCAGGTCCTCACACCGAATTTTTATTCAGTGACTGGGCTATCAATAAAGTTCGAATCCAGAAGCAGACCCCCTCATTAAATGCAGGAAATAGTCTAGTTTGTAACAGCATGAGTTACGGGGCAATAGTATTGGAAGGTGTTGACATTGACATTTCTTTTGGCAACAAATAACATTTATCAACAAACCTAACACTAATACAAGGCACAAACTTTTAACGTTATGTTAATTGTCCTAAGTGACATTATGAAAGCTATTCAAAGCCAGTACAACCGGACACCTGTCCGTACCGCTCTCGACTGGTATAATGAACAAGACTGAACACCGGGCATTCACATGGACTCTAGATGTAAATCAAAATAGTTGTAGTCAAAACAATTTAACAACAAAACAATACAATGCAAGACTGGTCACTCAGTCCACTGTTTACAGTCTCCTGTAAACAGTCTCAATTACGTTAACACACGTCTCTATGGACGGCAATAAAAATTGCGTCAAATTCGCAAACAAAACCCTGGTGTTATCAAGCAGTGCTACACTAGGAATGGAACGATCATTGTAAAGAACGAAAGACCAGGAAAAAGATATGAAATAAAGTGTGACCAACAACTATTGACTTTTTTTAATGAATGTGGTATATCCGAAAACCAGAATCCGCCCACTGCCAATACTGAAAATATCTCATGAGATTGATGAAGATTAAGCCACCCAAGAGGTAGCACGGGCATGAATAGCCCGTAAGTGGTGGCCCTTTTGAGCCATTACCAGTATCAAGAGCTGATACTGGAGATCTGTGGAGGCGCGACTGCACCCTGCGTGACGGGAGATGTCTCTCGGACCAAGTGGTGACCAGATGGTGATCATCTCATGAGTGTCTGAGCCTGCTTATATAATGGTCTCTCATCCTAAAAGTTCCTAACTTCTCAGGAAGGTTTCCATGTACTTATATAATCATCTACCTTTACAAGAATGTAAATTCAACTTAATTTCAATGTTCTCTGTTAACCCCCAATGTACCTTCTTGTATATAGATAAATACATACCTCGGTATTTTAGCAAAATCTTACTCATATGTATTATCTTACTCTGTTAACTTCAAATTTAATGGTAATATGATTTATATTAGTCATTTATTGGAATTAATTGAGTTAATATTTTCTTAAGTTTATATTAATTATAGGATCATAACTAAGCTAATTATAGGTAATTATCATTAACACTATTACTTTAAGACTATTTGTCAGTATTAATTAATGAAGATTACCTTGAAATTTTATTTTTGTGCTGTGTTTTGTCTTCATTAATTCCATATTATTATTATTGCACATTATTCTTCTCAATCTTTATTGATTTTTTTTATTTTTTTTTTACTTCTGTATCCTTCTTGTCTAGCTAAATGATCTTTATTTTATTTTTACATGTGTCTATTATATATGTGTATTTGCATTTTTTGTTTTTTGCTATAGTTATATTTACAACAGATTTAGTATTATACTGTTCTATAATTGTTCTCTTATTGTATCTTATCTTGCGGTTATCTGGAGATGATTTCGGGGCTTTAGTGTCCCCGCGGCCCGGTCTTCGACCAGGCCTCCACCCCCAGGAAGCAGCCCGTGACAGCTGACTAACTCCCAGGTACCTATTTACTGCTAGGTAACAGGGGCATTCAGGGTGAAAGAAACTTTGCCCATTTGTTTCTGCCTCGTGCGGGAATCGAACCCGGGCCACAGAATTACGAGTCCTGCGCGCTATCCACCAGGCTACGAGGCACCATCTTGACTACATTGCATCTACATGCAAGCTGATATTGATCCGGAACTAAATCTGCTGTCACAAATCTACAATAACCAGCATATTGATCATCACTACTGCAGGTATTACTCAGCAAACCTTGCAAAAAACGGACTCCGAAATGACACTTGCCTATCTGTTTTCAACCAAAATGTTAGATCACTTGGTAAACATCTTAATTGTTACGACCCAGGTAATGATTACCTGGGTCTCACGGAGAATATACCTCTTACACCCAGGGAGCCGTGTGGGGAAATTCCAGGCAGCTAATCTCTCTTTTTCATATTGACTTTAATAAAATAAAGTTATGTCTTATTTATTTTCTTAGTAAGTAAGAATTAATTGAGTGGACTGTATTTACTTGTAAACTGCCTGAAATCTTCTTACACACTATTGGGAGGGACAATTGGCAGCCTAAACCACTTTGTTATGGTTCCTTCTTAAACTACCAATTGTTTACCTTTTAATCTGTTATATTTCAGTATACCACATATGGTGGTTAATCTACTTAATAATTAATTATGACTACTACTACTAAGAGTATTAATGGCTTTGCTGTGCCAGTAGAATGGGCCTGGTAAGGCGTGTAGGTGTAGCCTCAGATTGGGTATGGCCCTGTGCCTCCTGGTGCCACGTAATGGCGGCTTGTGGGGAGAACAAAGCTTGGCAAGCAATAGTTAATGTGTATGAGCCAACTGTCTGCTCTACTTCTTGATGCTCCTCACAATTTACCTGTATGGAATGCAAGGAATTAATCAAAGTTCCCTAAACATATCAATTACAGGTATGGCATGAACTGTGAGGGCTATAAATGGTGTACACGTACATGTGGTTTGGGTTTCTCCCACGACCTAACCATCTACCCATCAATATTAAACAGTGCACTAGAATAATATACAATACTTGGTAGACGGATACAGTCATTGTTGTGATGTTGATAGGCTGTGTAGCTGGTGTTGACACGTAAATGGGGTGTCTAGCTGTTTACACCAGTTAGCCAAGACAGCGTGGTAGGCTGCTCTCCTGTTGTTGTTATTATGATGATGGAGCAGGAGCCTCCCTCCCCCTTCGGGCAACGCCCTTATGCTGGTTCCTCTCTCAAAGTAATTTTACATTAACAAGGGAACCTAGCTACAATACTGTGTAAATAATTATATTCAGTCTTATTGAATACTTTTTTGTTAACTCTAGATACTAAACTAGTCTATTAACAATGTTTCATAATATAAATATACGATGACTTCCATGACGTCACGGAGACGATGACGTCACGGAGTCTCCCATTTTCCATCCTGAAGGGAATACAGACTAAGGAAGACTGTGTTATTTGTGTGTGTGTGTGGTTGTGTGTGTCGGTTTCCCAACATAATTCCCAGGGGGTAGAACACGGGTCGAAGTCCCGGTAAGGACTGCGATCACTTTATTCTTCTCCCTCAGAATTATAGTGCTGCTTTAATTTGAGTTTACATTGTTGTGCAGCAGTCCGTTGGGGACGTATGTCCCGTACTGGCGTATCGGGTGCTGGAAGTCGTTGTACAGTCTTCTTTCCTGGCCAGTTCTAAAGGTACTAATTTCTCTAAGGTTTTGAGAGTAGTGTTGCCTTTGCATTTTACTTTCACTATTCTCAAGATTATCTGGTTGTCTGGATGAACAGAGACTATTTCTCCTATAGGCCACTCCGA